GGCGAAAATTGTGTGTCGCCGATTGGATAAGTCTGTTTGTTAGCAAAAATGTGAATGGTCATAAACTGCAATTTGAATATGCAATACGGACCAGGGAAACAAAATGAATGTACATTTTTGTAATTTCTGAATTCAATTTTAAATGATCATCTTTGCAAAACATAGATCGCCACAACAGAACGCAAAATTCCAATTTCCGCAAATGGCATATTAGTCAGTCAAATGTACTCGTCGATAGTCAGCTGTTGCTGGCAGCTGAGTGCATTATAGAATTTTAACAGAATTAGTCAGCTGTTGCTGACAGCTGGCTTGGAGGGGAAAACAACTGCAGCCGAAACCACCGGAGTTTTCTGTGGCACCCCTGATAATCACTATCTGGAGATATTTTCAATTTCAATGAAAAATTCGAAGAAATACGGGAGTTATGGAAAATCAGGGATTGCGATGGAGGGGCTTGGGAGGAAAATTCCAAAATAAACAGACGGACATACAGATAAATAAACATAGATCGACTCGTCTTGTCATGCTGAACAAGAATATATGTATATACTTTGTGGGGTCTGCCACGCCTCATTCTGCTTTTTACATTTTAGAGCTCGCGCAAACCTAATACACCTAATTCTACTTTTACATGGTCTTTTGGTAGACGATTTTGATATAATCCGGTTTGAAAATTAAAAATTTCATATATATTTCTTTAGAGATAAGGAGTCAATCACCTATATCTGCATTTGAGCATTTCCATGATGTCGCACGGGACAGTCATACACATTTAAAGTGAAAAAAAGTCGAAAAACGAAATTGTTAATAGGCCTAATTTACAACTCTTAAATAGCCCTGTAATTGGTGCTAAGGTTGTTTTTGGGCAACTTTTCGTTTCCAAGATGGCAAAAAAACACGGTATTCGCACGGGACAAATTCAGAAGTGGTTTTTGCGGCCACCAGTTCAGACCCAGATTTTAGCGAAACATGAGGCAATATATCGATGTGACTAGTTTTATAAAGTTGTACATTGATATATCTTAAAAATGGTTTTCATTCTACCCAAAATATATTTATACGTTTTCTGCAAGTAAATTTTGGGCGGATTCGCACGGGACATGTCGCACGGGACAGTTTTTCCAATATGATAATTTTTTGTTTGGTTTTTTTTACAAAAATATACATGACACGGGGCAGTTTTTCCAATATGATAATTTGTTTTGTTTTTTTTTTTTTGTTTACAAAAATATACATTTAAAGGGCATAGCGTTATTTCAAGTTGACAAGTACTAAATGTATTTCGTTATCTCCCAGACTTTCCTTTTAATAACTGATCCGTCCCCATCAACGGATCCCTTTCCATGTAAACTGGCAAAAAAATTCCAGCAGCTCCCATTAGAAAATATAAATATTTTTGAAAAACATCCGTGAGATTTTTTAATTTCAACTATGAAATTTATCAAAAAAATTAACATATCGTGTTTGTTATGTGTAAGGTTGTCACTTAAGACAGCAAACGACTTTGTGTGTCCTGCTAACCAACCTATGGCGATAACTAAAATGACCACTTTGAATCTCATTTTACATTATTTGCTTTTTTTAATTTATTAACATATTTTCGAATTTAATTGGGTCATTCCTCAATTTTCCTCTCCACCGTCTGCACGCCTCTTTTTTCGCAGCAGTTCTTACTCATTAGGATTTAATTAATTTAAAAATTTGTGTACATATATACATACAGATAAACCATTTATGTAAAAAAAAAATTGATTTTATATTTACATTTATGATGTCGCACGAGACAAACTTATTAATTGTCTCATGATCGTATTGATATTTGCTATTTGTGATCAATATTTGATAACAAATGATGTTTTTTTATGTCGCACGGGACATCAAAATATGTACATATATGACAATGTAAACACAAAATTTACAGTTATCTGTATTTCTACTTTTATTCTCGACGCACTAGTAACAAATTGTTTTTTGATGTCGCACGGGACATCAAAATATATGACAATGTAAAGTCAAAATTTACAGTTATCTGTGTACCTACTTTTATTCTCGACGCACTAGTAACAGATGATGTTTTTTGATGTCGCACGCTGCAGTGTATGTACATATGTATGTATGTACAGAGTACCTATGTACTACAAGCTCGAGACACCCGACTTTAGCTTCTCCACTTGTTTCCCTTTGCAAATGCAGTAAAAATAAACACAAAAGAAGGAATGCTGTGGAAAAGTGGGCTCAACTCTTAAATATCCTGTACTCACTCCAACACTATGGAAAATCAGCGGGGGAGTGGATGAGAAAAGAAACAAGTAGAGAAGCTTTGAAATACGCTGTACATACTTGTATGTGTAGAATAATTATAGAAATTTAAAAAATTAAAAACAAATTTTGATCGATTTTACCTCCCTTGTATATAATTACATTTACATAGCAATTGTGTCTATGTGTGTAGTGTAGGCATGTCTATTCGTGTCTGTGAATGCATGTATGCAGCACAATGTTCAACCAAAGCAGCAACAACAGGTGCGGCAGCGCTTGAGCAGTGATTATACATATATATATCTTCCTATATATCTATATAACTTCCTTTAAAATCGGCCTATCATGATGAAACTTAGCAAACGGACTCATAATCTCTAACTGGAAGTAAGAATTACGGCAGTTATGGAAAATCACAAATTGTTGAGGAGAGGGGGGAGAAAGGGAAAACCGAAAATGTATATATATATATATGAACATGTCTTTAATTTAATTAATATCATTTTTGTAAATTAATGACATAAAATTTTTTCTCATTTTTCCTTTTTGGGAATTTTAGTTATTTAAGAGTTGGGCTCGCTCGATTTTAGCATTCCTTTCTTGTTTAGTTTGTGGGGTATGTCAAGCCTTCTTCTATGTATTACATACATATAGTGGGTGCCAAAAGTCTACATACGATCCAATATTTTGCTACCTGGCAGAACCGAAGGTATTATTGAAAAACTAATGATACAGTTTCGTACTGTTAAAGGTGCACACTATACAGTGAACGACCTACTTACGACCAGAGGTTGCCGACTATATTTTAGTTGCAGATCGCACTGAGAGAACAAAAAGGAAACAAACTACTGCTTAAATTTCCAATTTCATTCTAATTGTATTCCTGAAATTCCTTCAGTATTTATACAATTATTGTCTTATATACTAGAGCTTCAATGACGGTCTGAAGACGCCTCTCCTTTGACTCCACCAGATTTCGCAGTTCTACGGGTGTTATATCCCGCCAAGTAGTCCCTTCCTTTAGGATTGACGCACTGGTAACGTCAAATTTCCTCAGCTTCCGGTCTAAAAGGTCCCATGTGTGTTCAATATTGTTTAAATCCGGGCTTTACGGTGGAATATTCAATAGGCGTAGTGCATTGTACAGCAACCAATCCCTGACAGCGTAATCCGTACGTTATGGGTTGATGTCCTGTTGGAATAATCATCGACCACTTCATTTAAATTTTGTTCCAATATGTTCTTGAAGTCAATTCGTTCCATATTAATAAAATCCAAATTTCCTACTCCAGACATAGCAACAGCTTCCAAAACTACCTCCGTCATGTTGGACTGTAAGGACCAAACGATTAGGATTCAATGCTACGTTTATCTTTCGCTAAACTTCGATTTTTCCATTACTTCCGAATACATTAAATATTGATTCGTCGGTAAGCAAAACTTTTTTCCAAAAATCGAAGTCCTTATCTTTATATTTATACGCATTTTTTTTAACAAATCTTACGATTTTTTTCGATTATTAGCGATTTTCTTTTTTGGAGCTCTGCTGCGAAAACCATTTTTGTTTGCAAATTATTGAATTCCTCTTGGATGCACAGTTTTTAGTGATATGAAAGCGAGGTGTTCGGCTAATTTTGGAGCACGAATCTTCGAAATTTTGTCCACTTCATTCAAACTTCGACACTGCTATTATGGTTTTTCAATATTGTCTGTATAGTAAACTTACCAAGATTTAAAAGTTTAGTTCATTTTGTTATTTCTGAACTTTAAGAGTAATTTTCGCAAATCGGTGGAGATTTCTTTATGGCAAGCCATTTCTATGAACGAAGTCCTCTTGCAAGTTCTCAGAAAACCTCTAAAGGATATGCGAATAATTTCTAGAACAAAGCAAAATCAAGAGCTTTAATAACCGAGGGCCTACCGTTTTATTGACGATGCACAGCTCGAAGAATAAAGTGTCAAATGAAATCGTACGTACACTTTTGTCAATTAAGAAATATGGGTTTTCGCTTATACCTTTGTAAGGATACATCTTAAGTTAATAACTTTTCGTTTTCTTCCATAAGAATAGATAAGCTACAAAACTGCATCATTAATTTTTTAATAAATATCTTTGGTTCGGCCTGGTAGCAAAATATTGGATCGTATGTAGACTTTTGGCGCCCACTGTACATTCGAATTAAACCAGCAAACACTTTGAGTAAATTGTATTGTTGGAGGACAACACAATAGCATACGATTTGTTTGATTCATAAACATGTGAAAGTATCACCACTCGCTTTAGTTAAGCGGCCCATCTGGCAAATATTTTCACGTCTATTATTGCTTATGTTTACCCAAACTCATCTGGTGTGCCTTTTTCTAACAACATTCACTCATTATTGAAGTCACTTGGCAGTCACGTTAAGGAAAATATACTTACATACACACAAACTAAGCTAGCGAACTTCAAATTATTGGAAAGGCAGCGTCAAATTGGCTTAATAAAATTACATACATACATCGAAGACGCCTCCGGATACGTCTGAAACATGAACGTATGGAACATATAAATATCAAACAGTTGGAAGCAACGGAATACACACACAAATAACAATTTTGCCTGTGTAAGCGCCCGATTGGAACATGTCGAGGAAAAAATACTAGGGGTCTGCGAAAATTTGCAATAGAGTTTTAAAGTCCCCATTCCCGTCATCACCACGTTCACGATATAAGCATATGTAAAGTTTACAAAAACAAAGTGCGGTCTCATAAATGAACATTAGTCCGTTTATTATATTAGGCATGCTGCTACTGCTCATTGCATTTTAACCATAAACTTCGCGCTGAGTTTTCTCCCAAACTGCCATTGGGCCATGCTCAGGCCGATACTTCACATTGCAGCCATCTTGCTCAAAACGATTATCATCTCGTAGTTCTTCGTAGCGCTCGCGATCGTATTTAGTGAAGCCCCATTTTTTAGAAACGTATATCTGATTTTAAAAAAATATATATCAATATGTATTATTTATATACTTGGCACAAACCTTTTGGCGTCCGGGAAACTTAAACTTGGCTCGACGCAAGGCTTCGACAACCTGTGCCTTGTACCGATCGCTTGAACGCACAGACATTATGGGTTGACCAATACGAACACGTGCAACTGTTCCCTGCGGCTTTCCAAAAGCACCCCTCATACCAGTTTGGAGCCTGACCAAAAAAATAATTTAAAGAAATTCACAGAAATGTTAATAAATTATTTGAAAGAAATTAGAGGCCACACAAATTGTATACTAGTAACAATTACTTGAAATTATATTTAATTCAAAATGTTAGAGCCACCCGCATTTTGCGATGCACTGTGTGTGTGGTTTTAAAAATATGTACATTCCCTGTGTGTGTATATAGTAGGCAGGTATATTATCTTACCTATCGGCTCCGGCACACGACAACATTTTGTTTATGCGGATGACGTGGAATGGGTGCAAACGCATTCTTATATGGAATTGATCCTTGCCGCAGTACTTCACCAAGTACTTATTGCAGCAGATGCGCCCTGCTTCTAACGCTTCGCTGCTTAATTGTTCGTATTCGTCAGATACCAGATGGACACATAGTGGGAAGTCTTCCACAGTGGCCTTTTTCCTACCCAAATCGAATATGCGAATTTTGGGGTCCGGAACACCACGACAGAAACGAGACTTTGGATAAGGCTTATTTTTGCAGTAACGATAACTTAAAAAAAAAAAATTATTACATATAACACATACATAAAAAATGAACATATCTTCAACTTAAGAAAATAGCTTACCATCTTGCGGGACGTCGACCCATCTTGAGCCTAAAATGCAGATGACACAAAAGAGATGCAAGGTTATTATAACTATCTGTAATTTTATGTTTTTGTCTGCATAAAAACTTAATAGGACCATGCAAAAGAACAATATAAAATCGCAGATTACTATGGATTTAAAGTACACGTTACCTTCTACTAGACAGTCAAACTAAAAAGAAAGACAATTTAAAACGGATATGAAATAAATAGAGCTGTTTTGCAGTTGTATCGATTAAACTGTCTAATAGGGCCAACGCATAGGTAGCAACAAATTTGAAGCAGTGGAAACGGAACAAAAAAGAAATTTTTTGTGATTAGAAAAATATACATAAAACTGTTTATAGTGTTGGTGATAACAAAGAAGCGGCATTGGAAATTGGAATTTGGTCGCCAAAGGGGGAAAAAGAGGTCCAACGTTTGCTTGAAACGGTAAGGTTACTTGGCACCTTTGTTACAAGGAAATCGACATCACCGATGGTGTCGTATTTTTTTATGCGATGGATATTAACATTTATTTTATATGTGAAATTTCAGTATTGCTCTTCAATTTGTTATTACGTGCGGCGTGATTCAGGCCGGCGTCTCCAAACAGAAAAGAACTCACAATGGGATTACTGCTAGCTCGTTGCCAAGCCCCACCTTCAAACTTAGTTTCTATACTCTCAGCCAAATTACCCAAAAATGCATACTTTGTTAATTACGTTTTTCTTGGAGCCTTAGCCATTGGGCTTTTAACATATCTTTACTTTAAAATGAAAAGTTGATCTTTTAATTATGGTCCGATCGGTTTCAAATTCGCAGTATATAATTACAATAACTATATCTACAACTTGGCAGTCAACGATTTTCACAATATAGAAAAAAGTTTTTCTTCTCGCACATGCAGGACAAACAACACAAAATTCAATAAGCTGCGACAGTACATAAGAAAACACACACTCACAGACATAAGCCACTATAGAAAGTGTCTTTTGTTCGTGGCAACTCGTTGCGTTGACACGAGTGCCGTGTTACATATTCCGATAACGTGTGGGGTCGTGCTGACTCCGTTCGTTACGCAAAGACGCAATCTTGAAATACTCTGTTCATGTGTTTAGAATAATTAAAGAAATTAAAACAAGAGAGAACGCTACAGTCAAGCACCAAACAAGGAAAATTAAAAAAAAAATTGTAAAAAAAAATTAAATTATTAAAAAAATTTAATTAATTAATAAAGAAAATTTATTTAATACATACATAGAAGACATGTTTATGTACAGTTTAAACAGCATACATTTACATCATCGTGTCTATGCGTATTTATATGCGTGTATGTATGCAGCACAAAGTTGAACCAAAGCAGCAACAAAAACAACAGCTGCGGGCAACGCTATAGCTATAACATTCTTGCGCTCATACAGACGGACATGGCTATATCGACTCGGCTTGTCACCCTGATCAAAAATACATATGTATATATACTTTGTGGGGTCTGCCACGCCTCCCTTTGCCTGTTACATACATTCGCATAAAACTAGTATAGCCCTTTGGGAACAGGCTATAAAAATACTATTATTGGAAACATATGCAAAAAGACATAAAGGAATTTGTCAAAGAATGTATAAAATGCTCTAAAAACAAAACAAGAAACGCGAAAGAGGCAATGGCAAGAGGCAGGCTCCCAAAAATAACCTACAAAAAAATATCACTAAAAACGTTATTTTCTGTTTATTTTTACAAAAAAAAAGTACAACATACATTTTTTTCCAAAGGGGGAAGGCGTAGCATAGCCACGCCACATACGGGCACATAATCACTTACTGGATGTTATAACCAAATTTAAGTTCAAAATTCCAAAAATTACGGTGGTTATGGAAAAAAAACATGATTTGCGGGGGAGTAGCGGTGCATCGAAAAAAATTTAAACTTGTACTTTCTCGGACTTAGGAGATTCTGGATACCAAGTTTGATTATTCTAGCTCATATACTTTCTGAAATCCTTGCGTTCATACAGACTAATGGACGGACGGACGAATAGACAGACGGACGAATAGACAGACGGACATGGCTATATCGACTCGACTTGTCATCCTGATCAAGAATATATACATACATACATATATATGTATATATGTATATACTTTGTGGGGTCTTCCACGATTCGTTCTCCCTGTTACATACATTCGCACAAAACTAGCATACCTTTTCACCCTTTGGGTACAGGGTATAAAAACAATTGAATTAAGTCATTAAATTATATTAAAATATTTAATACATTCATACTAGTGATGTAAGTCTGAAATGAACATCGATGTTTTACATCGGAAACGAAAATCGCCATGACAAACATCGATACATCGATTTTTCATAAAAATTTGTAATATAAAACAAGAGATGAAAGAAAACGACGAGCGGGATCAATTCTCCTATGCATATTATAGGCGCCCGAAACTATTGTGCAAGGGTTGTATCTTTGCATTAATTTTAAAATCTTAAAATCAAAAATGTGTGTTATACTTCTATTAATAAGTCTAATATTTAAAATGCATAATGCTACAGAACTGCTAAGACACCATTTCAATGTGAGGTGTTATTCCCAAAATGTATTCACATCATGTGTAATACGTACGTACATACATATACGCACATTTTAATTCCCGTAGGTTTTAACAATGCACGCTTTTTATACTCTGTACATAAAATGTACAAGAGTATATTAGGTTTTCGGGAGGTGAAAATGTAACAGGCAGAAGGAGGCGTGGCAGACCCCACAAAGACGAGTCGATCTAGCCCTGTCTGTCTGTTTGTCTGTCCGTCTGTCCTTACGAACACCTGGATCTCAGAGACTATAAGAGCTAGAGACACCAAACTTTGCACAAAGATGCGTTATATGTGTACGCTGTGCAAGATTGTTTTATTTTTTTGTTTTTCCCCCCACTTCCCCCCTATGGTGGTTTTCCCGATTTTCCATTCATATAATCGCCTATATCTCGGAGACTATAAGACCTACGGGCACCAAATTGTAGTCCCAGATGTCTTATGTGAATACGCAGAAAATGTGTATTTTTACGTTAGTTCGAATACCGAGAGAAGTAAAATCGATCAAAGTTTTTTTTTTAATTTTATTAATTTTTTTTATTTTCTATAATTATTGTAAACATATGCACAGAGTATTTCAAAGTCGGGACACCCGACTTTAGCTTTTTTACTTGTTAAATTTCAGTCAGTCTTCAGCCTTGATGGTAGCGGCGTGATTCGAACCAAAACCCTCCTAACAAGCAAATATTGCACTATGGTCCCAAATCCAAATTTTTTGGCATAAATTCGAAATATTAAGGTATTTGCCCCAAATAAGGCTTTTACATTTTCCGATATCAACATAGTGTTATGTTCATCTACGATTTTTACATTAATTTTCTGCAATATATACTGCTTAAATGCGTTTTCTGAATCTATGTTGTTGCTTTAAATGTCAATAATTTCTGCGTGCCCAAACACGAGTTTTGCCGCAATGAAAGCAATTTTTTCGAAAACGCAAAAACAGGCAAAGGAGACTTAATAATTATGAATCTGTGTACTTTTGTTAAGACATTGACATTGTTAGCTCCACGCTCTGACGCGCTCCGCGAAAGTAATACTCCACAAAACACAATTACTTTTGTTATACATTCCTGCTAAATAGACACACGAAATACTGGAACACATATACAATGACGTCACGATACGGCTTAGAAATTGATTCTACATACCATGATCTTTACTTTCCATACTTATTCTTTTATTTTTACACAAATAGAAAAAGTTTCCTCCAATTTGCAAATGCCAGGGCTGTCACCTATTATTTCATGAGCGTGCCAAATTAACAGGGTTGCAACAAAGCTCAAAAAAAAAGTTTTTTTCTTTTGTGTCTATTTGTTGAAATTGTATTTATATCCCAAAAATATTTTCAGAAATTTTTCGATTTTATGCCGCTGTGGGACCATAGTGCATTGTGGGATTCCTGCTTGCTCGTTCAGGATATGCTAGGCTCCGAATTTACGATTGCAATGGGTATAACAACTTGCTTCAGTTTTATTACTTTTGTGTATTTGCTGTGATTTCCCTGCTTAGGAATGTCTGTAACACAGATATTTTTATTAAAATCGAAAACAATCGCTTACGTTAAGATCGATACAACGATGTATCGATGCATATCTACATCACTAATTCATACATAGGTGGTGGCATTTGTTTATGTACCGTTTCAGCACCATACTTTTACATCAGAATCGTCTGCATCAGGGATGCCAAATAAAACTCCGATGGTTTCGGCTTCAGTTGTTTTTGAAAATCACCAAAGAAAACGTCGGTGGCACAGAACTTCGAAAGATTTCATTTTTTCGATTTTCACCTCCAAGCCAGCTATCAGCAATAGCTGACGGTCGACGCTCACATTTGACTGACTAATTTTGTAAATATCCTGTAACGCATCCTGTAACGCAGCCGGCAACAGCTGACTGTCAACGAGTACATTTGACTGACTTCGCATTAATATTAGCCCGCAAGCATTTGCGGACATGCCAATTAATTCTTGAAAAAATACAAAGCAATTATTTGAAAAGCGCATCTGATCCCTCTAAAGAATTCCACTTATATTGCTTATGAAAAATTAAATTTATTTGTAACAATTTTTATAACATTTGGAATTTGGTGCAATGTCGGTGTGCTTCCATAAATTGGACAAAATTTGCAAAAATTAGCATTTAAAATAGAATTCAGAAATTACACAAATACACAATTATGTGGTACTTATTTGAAACAAGAATAGCGTCAGTTACATATTTTATTTTTAACTTTCGTTTCAATCACAAAATAAGACTTAATTCAGCAAAATGTGATGTTTGAAAAATTTAATTTTCTTTTTGCGCCAAGGGGGCATCTCTATTGCTTGGTTGTTATGGACAAGGTGTGTGAATGCTAGGGTTTTGATTTGCTAATTTAATATAATTTACATACGATATGCAAAATATTTTTGATGCAGACTGTTCAGAAAAACTACAAGGTGTCTTCCAAAGTAAACAGGACTTTAAAAAAAAAACAGAACAAATGGTTATTTCGGCGAAATCAATTTATTTTATTCAAAATAGTAACCTTCTGCTTCAATACAGCTTTTT